AAGAAGTGCACTCACCATCATATCAAGGAAACCCAAAGCTCTGTTTTTGTACACATTGAATTGATGTTTTATGGAGTCTCGATCTTTTACAATCCATTTGCAACCTAGCAAAGAGCCCGTACTGTACATCCCGAGAAACAGGCAAGCGATGAAAATCCTGCTGATCATTTTTGAAAAATGTAGAAATTTTCTTAGTGTGAAGCAAATTCTCAGGTCTCCTTGTGTTCTGATGGAGCAAACCTCCAGCACTTCATTTATATCAGAGCGAGAATTTCATTTTCATATCAACTAGAAAGTTAAAACAAAAAAGATTTATGCCATCATTTCTGTTTGTATTTGTGTTTTTAGGGGATGATTGTGTCATATTAAGACAGTATTCCATAAAAATAGGGAAATGTTCGAGATTAACCTTCAGGTGATTTTAAGCAAACGTAGATCAATGGTCGTTTAATAAAAATGTAATTTAATTACGTCATGTGAAAGTATATTTATCTAAATTCTTTCTTACAGTATTTATATCGTCGAACACATTTCGTCACTCATGATGAAATAAAATGAAAGCGGATGTGTGCCAAACGTCAGTTACGCTCCTTACGCACGTTTGCTTTCATTTTCAAGTAGGGTTGATTACAGGAGAGAAGAAAAGAGTATAGCGTGATTGAAGTTTATGTTTTTTCAGGTTGTGAAATAAATAAAAAGCCAAATATACTGGTCAAATATTCTTTCAAGTTTTTAAGTTGCAGAGTGTGTTATGAAAAGTCTTTAGCAGGGCAGGAGCTGTGAACGGAGAACAGAAAGTCTTTGGCGTCTACAACAATATGTAACAGAGCACTAAGGTGTCAAATAAAATGTCAAAGAAGTAGATTTATAATTTATTTATTACATCAATTAAACATACATTTCCCATTCATTCCCAGACAGGACTTACAACACATTCTACTAATATTCCCATGAGACCTATCAAACCAAAGGTGCGAGCAAATAACACTACACTGCAAACGTCACACCCAGTTTAGAGACACTGCAATCAATTTACCACTGGGCACACACTGCAAACAATTCGGGTCTCAGCACAGCTGGGAATCAGCGGTGACCTGCAGTCTGGATTTATAAAAGGGAAGTGGCACAAACAAATAAACGAA